GACTTGAAGTGTATTACTCAAGTACATGGGGAACAGTTTGTGATGATGGTTGGACCGATGCTAACACCGATGTTGCGTGCAGACAACTGGGGTTTGCAGGAAGCTCAGCGTATTATGGTTCGGCCCACTTTGGCCAAGGATCCGGAAACATATGGCTGGATAACGTAGGATGTACTGGAAGTGAAAACACTATATCAGAATGTAGTCATAATGGTTGGGGTGTTCACAATTGTAATCACGGCGAGGACATTGGTATAGTGTGCTATGGTAAGTAAATCGACGGTCAAACAGTGGCATATCTAGGAGTCTTGAAATTCGGAAAGGGTTGGGGCTGGTGGGGGCGCGAAGCTGAAATAGAAAAGCTACGACTCGATGATTAGGTGAGGGGAGATAGCTCGCAAAATAAGGTGATTTTTAACTAATTGTCCGGCTATAGTTTTGTTTGTTTGTTTGTTTTTTGTTTAAAATATTTTTAATGGGGGAGGTGACTGGGGTTCAAACGCGCACCACCCCACACCCTAAATATGCCACTGCAGTCAAAGTTAAAATGTTTCAGTCTTTGTTATTAGAATTTAAACAAGAACGCCGCAACATCTCTCATACGACTAATTTATCTTTCTAATTAAATAATATTGTAATGTACAATATTTTGTAATCAAATGTCTATAAACATTACATTGTTTGTTTATTCTTTATTATAAAAGTTTACATCAACAACATTTTAACCTTTTTTAATCAAATATTTCGGTATATAATTACCGTAAATGCTCGAATAAGATCCGCTCTTTAATAAGTGCCGCACCAATCCTGATTTTTAGCTAAGCGCCGCTCCCGAATAAGCGCCGCGTTTGTATTTCCAAACTTGATAAAATAACGTATTCTTGAGGATAAACTTTTCAGTGCATTTGTGTATATGACACATAAACATAAAAATAATAACCTAGCGTACATGTACAGGAATTAGTTTACGATTGGTGTAACAATAGCCAATTGTTATTTATATAGCGGTCACGATCAAAATAATTATAAGGCATACTATGCAGTACTGTACATTTGAAATGTGGAAATATAAAATACATAAACCAGTGTATTATAATTAGCTTTGACCTTACTCTAGGAGCTGAGTTAAGACACGTGTGCACTTTCACGTGCACTCAAACTCTTTTCAAAAATAGGTGTATATAGGTGCATGATTGAAAAAAAGTTTGGTCACGCGATCTAATACCGGCGAATTTTAAGAGGGGCGACTTTCCGTATAAATAATGGTCATGTCATGTACCATTAGAAAGGTATTTATACACTGATTATTCTCACTCCATTACACGTACTTTACGGTACCTAAAAATTCATAGTTACGGAGTTATTTGGTCAAATGTCAAAACTTGACAATTTTACAATAAATATGTAGCAGAAAATGTACAGTTTTTAATATTTTTTGTATGTTAGCAACGACTATTTTGCCAAAAATAACACTCACATCTTCGTGGTTTACATAAAGAAAACTACTGTAGAGCGTCGCTCCATTAGGAGCAAGGCAATAGGAAGTGGTCCGGCTGGTCCAGTTTTGGCCGCACCAATATCTTACCTATCAATACCGTTTGTATACCAAAATTGTCCTTTTGTCGGAACATTTTTTAACAAAATTACAGTATGGCTTGACTCAGTTAAAGTCCAAAATTAAGGTTCGGTGTTTTGAATCCTCCATGTCTACAATATGTAAGTACATAGGCCTACACCCAAAACCACACGGAATGAATCTTTTAAAAGGATTTATGAAATTCACTACAAAGCAAGAATTTTAAAACATTTGCAACTTTTTCAAACAGCCCTTTCAAAAGAATAATTTTTCATGGCATTGAATAAAGATAATGTACTTTATAGTACACCGTGCAATCAAAGCACTACATTTCATTGCATACATTTTTAAAACACAATTTCCACTCCAATTAGGAACCACTTTAGGACCTGGAACTTAGGATGGTCTCGGAGTTCGGTCTCCAATTAGAGGATAAGATTTGTATTAAAAGATTGTTGATTTTTTCTTTGTTTCTGATTATAATTGCTCTACAATGTCACATTACACTGTATTCACCAGTGGCGTATCTAGGGGTGCGCGGGCGGACGTCTCTCCATTGTATTTAAAATTAGAAGAAATTGGTTTTATTAAAAATACAAAAACGGTCATGCAGTAACTTCATACATTAAAGAGCTTTCGTTATCTCGTTCAAAAATCAATTCACTGAGAAAATTTCTCTTTCTCGACCAAAACAACCTAAACAACCACGCACTTTGAATGCGGTCTTCACCCTGGACCCAGGGAGCCCTGGTGGCAATCGTCCCCCAACCAACTGGTGTATAGCCACGCAATTAAAATCTCTCAGGTTGGTAACTATGGCTTTATGAAAAGTACTCTTCTGTTAATGGACTCCAAAAGGGTAGTGTAAAACACGAGGGGTAGAAAGAGCGTCGAATGAAAGGTCAACTACCGCAGTTTAAGTCTTCTTGACTCAAAACAGCCACCCCCAGTAGAAAAAGTGGAGGGGACAATGGCCCCAGTCAACACACCCCGCCACCCCCCCCCAGCTTTTGAACCTAGTTCGTATTCTTAACTACATCTTTTTATTTTTGTTTTTTACAACTTAGAACAACAACAAAGCAAATAAACCTTATACACAATCTAGATTTAGTTTATTTTTCTAATTAAATAATATTGTAATGTACAATATTTTGTAAATGAAATGTCTATAATTTTTAATCAAATATTTCAGTATATAATGTAAATGCTCGAATAAGTGCCGCTCTCTAATAATTGCCGCACCAAACCTGATTTCTTTTTAGCTAAGCGCCGCTCTCGAATAAGCGCCGCGGCGCTTAATCGAGTTAATCGAGAGCATATTACGCTGTGTGTAATAAAGCACCTTGAGAAAAGGGTTTAACTACAATGTAGGCCTATATAGTGTTAAAATAAATAAATAACACAATGAAGAAAAGCATCTTTTTATAAACGTTTATTTACGATTAAGTAGGACCTCTGATAGGCCTACTGAACTACGGGAACACGTGAGAACATAAAAATGGGAATGGAAAGCGCAAGCCAAAAAATTGTTAAAAGCGCCGCACTGGAGCCTCAAAAAAATGTTATAAGCGCCGCGCCGCGGCGCGTATTCGAGCATTACGGTAATAGTGTTATCATTTATTAAACAAAACAAAAAAATACAAGTTTTCGGATTATTTATTTTATTTACCGAAACTAATCACTGACGACTTTATTTTTTCAATTTTAATTACGTTAACATTCCTTTGATGAAATTTAGGAAATTCAGTGGCGACGCGGCTAGTTAATGGAGCAACTAATAAAGAAGGAAGACTTGAAGTGTATTACTCAAGTACATGGGGAACAGTTTGTGATGATGGTTGGACCGCTGCTAACTCCGATGTTGCGTGCAGACAACTGGGGTTTGTAGGAAGCTCAGCGTCTTATGGTTCGGCCCACTTTGGCCAAGGATCCGGAAACATATGGCTGGATAACGTAGGATGTACTGGAAGTGAAAACACTATATCAGAATGTAGTCATAATGGTTGGGGTGTTCACAATTGTAATCACGGCGAGGACATTGGTATAGTGCTGTCTCTTATACACATCTAGATGTGTATAAGAGACAGGCATATTTACTAGTCCATTTATGTTAAGCCCATCTGGTTTTTATTACATACCCTTCTAGCAGATAATGTAAATATAACAAATTAATTAATGAAAAATACTGTACAATAATGATAAAATATTCTTAACTTGTATAATAACAATACTATATAAATAATAATAATAATCCTTTTGTTTACAATATTTGAATAATAGATAATTAATTTATAATAATCCCATAATATAACAATATCATAATTTTTAACATAACAAAAGCATCATACTTTGCAAGAATTTGCACGCGTAAATCGCGGAGAACGCTATCTTGTGTTTATAAGATCTTTGCTCTATGGTAATAAAACACATACAAGCGTTAGTTGGCGTCCTACACTAGCTGCGTAGAGCGTATCGTTTTTTTTACGCTCTCAATGAGCGTTGTTGGCTCTCTTGTTCTATTTATACCCTTTGGTAATAGTGTTATCATTTATTAAACAAAACAAAAAAATACAAGTTTTCGGATTATTTATTTTATTTACCGAAACTAACCACTGACGACTTTATTTTTTCAATTTTAATTACGTTAACATTCCTTTGATGAAATTTAGGAAATTCAGTGACGATGCGGCTAGTTAATGGAGCAACTAATAGAGAAGGAAGACTTGAAGTGTATTACTCAAGTACATGGGGAACAGTTTGTGATGATGGTTGGACCGATGCTAACACCGATGTTGCGTGCAGACAACTGGGGTTTGCAGGAAGCTCAGCGTATTATGGTAACGCCCACTTTGGCCAAGGATCCGGAAACATATGGCTGGATAACGTAGGATGTACTGGAAGTGAAAACACTATATCAGAATGTAGTCATAATGGTTGGGGTGCTCACAATTGTGATCACGGCGAGGACATTGGTATAGTGTGCTATGGTAAGTAAATCGACGGTCAAACAGTGGCATATCTAGGAGTCTTGAAATTCGGAAAGGGTCGGGGCTGGTGGGGGCGCGAAGCTGAAATAGAAAAGCTACGACTCGATGATTAGGTGAGGGGAGGTAGCTCGCAAAATAAGGTGATTTTTAACTAATTGTCCGGCTATAGTTTTGTTTGTTTGTTTGTTTGTTTTTTGTTTAAAACATTTTTAATGGGGGAGGTGACTGGGGTTCAAACGCGCACTATTCCACACCCTAAATGCCACTGCAGTCAAAGTTAAAATGCTTCAGTCTTTGTTATTAGAATGTAAACAAGAAATATTTCCTATCAAAAAACGCCGCAACATCTCTCATACGACTAGTTTGTATTTCCATACTTAATAAAATAACGCATTTTCTTGAGGGTGAGCTTTTTCAGTGCATTTGTGTTATGTTATGACACATAAATATAAAAATATTGCGAATGTGAAGTGGGGGCTCGATGATTAGTTGAGGGGCGCTATTTCGCAAAATTTTAGGTGATTAAATATGATTGGTTTTTTTTGGGGGGGGGGGGGCGGGGTGCGAGTAATTTTTTAAGGGGGCTCCCCCACCCTGTAGATACGCCACTGCACTTTGGAAAATTTGAACTAGGTTTTGAAAAATTAGAACTGCATTTTGGAAAACTAGATCTACATTTTGAGAAATTTATGCCTACATTTATGCCTAAGTTAGACATTGCATTTTGCAATTACATTTTGATTTTAACATGGACTTTTGCTGCGTATGGCACCCCATAAATTAAAGACTCACTCTATTAGAGACCAAATACCATGCATGCGCTTGTGAATAGGGAACTAGGTTTTGGCGCTATACAAGTATTCGATCGGATCGGATGGGTTTGGTGAACCCAAATCAATTTTTTCCTCCAATTAGGCATAGGACCATCTATAAAATGAATAACCACGGACAGGAACTTGCACATCCCTAAACATCATAAAAACTCATTTCAATGTCTAGCATCATTAACGAGGATTGCTCGACCGTATGCAATTTTTTGTTTTCGCAGGTGACTTACTAATGAAACACAGGTCCACACAATAAATTATCAGGCTCTACTAAGCCTAGAATTCTTCCACAATTTTCTCCTTTAAAATAACGATTACTTTTAGGATATTAAAATATAAACAGTGATTTAGCTAAGATGTGTACAGGGTGGCGGAGTGGGGGGGGGGCAGGTTTCCGTTGAGAGAAAAACGTTAAGAACCATTTTCTAATATTGTTTAGCGAACAACCTTTAAAGATCGTCAGAAAAGGTCGGAAAAAATTAATTTTTTTTCTTATTTAGCTTAAATATTTTTCCGAACGCATCTAGGCGAATGAGAAAAACTATTAAAAACAATTAAAACCAAAGAAAAGATTACCATTAAATAAAATAGGTCGGGTCTTCATTGA